GGGCGTAACAAAGGGGTCGAACCCGAGCTGCTTAACGAGTCGAACACGAGCTATTCACGAACAACGAGCCAAATTGACAGCCCTAGATGTTAGTGGTTCGAGAGATCGTTTTGACTAAACCCAAGTGATAACAACAGTGGCTTTGCCACAATATATTTCATATATATTGTATTGTAGAAGGAAAAGTGTACAGTCTTATTATTGACAGAGGCATTTGTGTGAATGTTATATCTACTCAAATTGTAGATAAGCGGAGCCTTATCACTCAAAAACACAACCGGTCCTATTCTTTGTCTTGGTTGTAGAAAAGAAACAAAATTATAGTTGATAGGAGGTGCATGGAGCTATCTTGGAGACAAGTTTCAAGATCTTATGAGGTTTGATGTTGCACTTATAGATGCTTTTCTTATCCTTCTGGAGATATAGTGCAACATGCATTACCGAGATGACATAATTCTAAAAATCCGCAACCTGCTATAGAGAGTTTCTTTTGTAGATGAGTTTACAACTAAATTGATCAAATCATATTGAAATGTGACTTGTTAAGACGAGAGGGGCACATAGTGGTGATGTGCCTTGGCTGGTTGGAAGAAATCTGTAGTTGCAATCTTATTAGTCTTTACACGATGTATAGAAGCTAGTTGTAATGATTGTAAAAACGAATTTATCACCAGGAGACCGCCACATCTTACGGAGAAGCTAGAACTTTGGCCCATACAATAAGAGTACATCCACTAGAGCACCTAATCTGATTATTGTCAAGAAGAAATTAGCCCAGGGTAGAGAAAAGGCGTGGTCACTAGCAGCTCTTAATTTATTCTCCAACTTGGTTGTTTTTCAAGTGTCATGGCTATGAGCATATCATATATAATTGCCCAGACGAAATAGTTATCTCTTTGATTGAGTGCAGAAAAATGAAAGAAGTGGACAGTGACAATGTGGACATGAGAGAAAATGAAGATGTCAGAGACCCTGCTGCAGAGGGTGAAATTCTAGTAGTTCGATGGATCCTGCAGTCTTATTATTAATAGAGGTAGCTGTGAGAATGTTATATCTACTTATATGTAGATAAGCTGAGCCATTTCACATAAAAACTCAACCAGTCCTATTCCTTGTCTTAATTGAAGAAAGTAAATAAAATCATACTTGATAGGATATGCGTGGAGTTATCTATTGGAGACAAGTTTTAGGATTTTATGTGGTGTGATGTGGTATTTATAGATGCTTTTCATTTTCTATTAGGCCGTTGTTGGCAGTATAACTTGTGCACATGTCATAATGGCTATAAATTTATTTATTCGTTCACCAAGGATGACATGTGTATCTTATTCTTCAAGATCAGATTACGCAGTGGTTATCACCATATTAGGATGAGCTTAGGAGATTGTAGAAGATAACGTTTAAGAATGTAGATGAATTTTGTGTGTGGATGGTCATGCATTTTGGCCTAACCAATGCCTTGAGTACCTTAATGTGGTTAATGACTAAGTTTTTCAAGCTTTTATTAAAAACTTTGTGGTTGCTTACTCAAATGACATAGTGATGTATAGTATAGTGATGTATAGTCGTTCAGAGGAGGAAATTTTTTAGCACTTGCAACAGGTGTTTGAAGTTCTTCAAACAAAGCAGTTTTATGACCACCCCAAAAAATGCCATTTTCTGGCATGTCAGTTGTGTTTTTTTGGTTATCTACTTTCAGTAGCCGACATCGAGATAGACCTAACTAAGTTTGAAGCTATTATGAACTAGCCCAACACGATTAGTTACGCTAGTTTTATGGCTAATTTTTTTTATTAATTAGAGATTAATAAAAAAATTTAGCTTGATAGCGACACCCTTGACGCAACTCCTCAAGTGTGACAATTTTGTTTGGTCAAATGAAGCTCACGCTAACTTCGAGGTTTTGAAGAAATAAATTGTTCAGGTCTTTCTTCTAGTATTTTCAAAAATTAACCAAGTGTTCAAAGTAGAGTGCAATGCCTCTAATGTGGGGATTGAAGCTGTATTGAGCTAAGGACATTTTTTAGTAAAAAGTTGACTGATTTTAGGAGAAAATACTTGTCTATGAAAAAGAAAATTTATGTCATTGTAAGAGCTTTCAATTACTGCAGTCATTATTTGCTAGTAAATGGGTTCATCCATTTCATTGATCTTG